CATTAATAGCATTTTAAAATAAATTATGAACAATAAACTGAGTGTAGGATTAACTATTTTTAATATTATTAAGAAATTGATTATAATTAAAGTCAAACCCTGATATAGTGTCCTAAATAGCACACTCTCGTAAAGAACCAATAAAAATTTGTAAATGAATTTTGTCTGTAAAATCCTTCAGTAACTGTGAATTAATAAATGTATGATTTTGCATTGCAAAATACCTTGTTATTACCACCAGATCATGTGATTTTCAAACTCTCTAATCAATCACTGAACACTGGTCGTGGGTTTGCATCTCATCAATGAGCTGGCCACGTGTTTTCCGGGTTTTCTTTCACGTGTCTAATACATAAATGGGAGCCAGTTTCCTATGGAAAGTCATCCAGGGAAGCATCCCTCTTGTCGGATTGCCTTTCCATTGCTTTATTTTATCGCATTAATCCAGTCCAAGTTTGTGTTGAGGTTCTTCAATTTAACGCCACACCCGATTTAGCACCAATTTCACAGCTAAACAAATAATGGTACTAAGTCGAATATTTTCTAAATTCTAAAGATTCATTCAACGATCTCGTTAGAAGAGTTAATTTCATTAATTATTTAGGCAATCGATTTATTATTTTTATATAAACTAACTTATTTTCTGTTCCTTTACTGCACATGAAAACATAAAAATGTCCATGTTTTTAATACTTGTATCTGGAAATCCCTTGCTTAATTCTACAAAAAATCCTAGAAAATTGTTGTTAATTCATAAAATAAAATTCGTTGAATTAATTAAAGGGAGTCGGTTTATTTTATTGATTGTTTACATGAAACTTTTTTGTATTAACTGTATTAATTTTTAAAACAATAGTTTGTTTGAATATATACTGTACCTTTAATTAATTAATTAAATGTGAAAAGAAATAAATACAGTGTCAAGGTCGGGTGTTTTAATCGATATCGAGCCCGTCTTTGAGTTGTTTGTTAGAGTGCCGACGGATATAAAAACAACACTATAACTCCATTTACACGTAGGAGTGGAATGATACGTCGGCATTTTTGTCTTTTGAGCATCTTCCCGACAAAAATAACCAAATTCTTCTATCACGTAGTGGATTCCGAATTTTTAGTCGGTCAGAAAACACAACTCGAATAAGAAATGATTGAGACAGAAGGGAGGAAAGAGAGACTCTGGCAGAAAAAATCAAGACAGATAACTTACATCAAGTTTCTTGAATAAAGGAAGTAAATCACAGAAGAAACATCTGTGAGAGAGAATCAAGGAAGACGTAACTGATTTGAGAATCGGTTCCACGAGTGTTTCTTTGAGCAAACATTCTCCGGGGGTATTTTCTAATCTGGGGGGTAATAAATGCATTTGATTGGTCATCAATTTATATATATATATAAGCAATAATAATTTATGCATTATTCATCTGTTTATCGCAACCCATTTATACCTCAGTTGTGAGAAACGTTGTTAACTATTTTTTTGTTCACTTTTACATTTTTATTCACAAAACAACATATCTGACAAGCTTTATAGTGTTTATATTGTATATTTTATTTCACTATTACGTTATAGTTTTATTGAATCAAGAACATTAAAATGAAAGAAAAATGAACGATAATAATTTCTAATTTATCTCATTAAAATTCAGAAGATCGTTTATAATCGAAGTAAAGTAAATAATGGTTTAAGCTGTCTTTCCTTCTCCTTCCAAAAAGTTTCCTTCCGGTCTTAATACATGTAAATGAATATGCAAACATAGTAGACAACTAAATCCATAAAATCTTATGTCAAATCTGCAATATTGTATAGAGAAAACTGTCTTGGAGCAAAAGTATTGGTGAATAATTATTCAGTAAAACATGTCCAAAACGGAAAAAATGGTGTTATGTTAACTTTAAGATAATTAAAACTAAAGACACTTAAAACTATAACTTAGTGATTTTCTTTATGTGTCTAATACTTAAACAGGACTAGTTTCCCACAGATAATCTTGATGAAAGGCATGCACCACCTGGCAAATCGCTCATGTGTTGCACTCCTTTATCAATTTAATCTTAATATCATCCCATACAAATAATTAGCTGTATAGATCAATGTCATTACCCCCGTATAACTGCCTAATAAACTGACAGTTTCTCATTCCATTGCCAGCAAATCTAGGTCGTTGCCTGTAATTATTACGTAACACAATCGAAATTGTGTTTTATTTTATAGCTATTCCAATAAAACTGTAGTGCTGCTTTTAACAATAGTGCTATTGAAGTACTTAAGTAAATTGTTGTTTTTTAGGTGTTAAAATTAACTATTTTTTATTAATAATAATATATTTTTATTAACGATCTCCCGTCTTTAATGCTAATATATAATAATACTTCCTTCAATCTAAGTTTTCCTCCAAATTTTTACTTTTTATTATTTTTTCTTAGATCAATAGAAACTTTCCGAATTTTCTGTTGATCTTAAACAAGTAAAACAGAACAATGAAAACAAATTTGAAATTAGATCGAAAAGTTTTATTTATTTTTTATTAAAATATCATGATTTTTTCAACTGAAATACTTTAGTTTTATTGATTCTCGTGTCTTTGAAATGTTTTTATTTTTATATTTTATAGCTAAAAATAAAAAAATTTGAAACTTTACTATTAAGTTTTGTAATTTTAAGCAATTTAAACTAATTTATAACTAATATTTTTATATTTATTTTTCATTTTTTTCCATTTTATAAAAGTTAATTAAATTCTTTTACATGAATTTAAATCTAAAATGTTTCAAATGCCTCTACGAAAAGTGCATTTACATTACAAACAAATTAACTTCTTTTATATTTAAGTTTCGATTTAGTGTTACCCCGATAAAGCGCCAGCGAAAAGGGGTCTTTCTCATAATTATTATATAATCTTCAGTATCTGTAAATTGCTGTAATTTACTATTTTGTATTACAAGCGCCATTGGTATCACCAGAACACGTGATTTCAAACTCGAACCCAAATTTTCGTAAACCTCATTATTACGTATATCCCACTGTTTTGGATAATTCAGTTTAGTGCATCTTCGATTTAGTGACAGATTTAATAGCGACACGCTAAAAGTAGTTTTACAATTGCAAAAATAATCGAGATGCGTTAAAACGGGGTGTCATCTTATTCCATTTTATAATTTTTACACAAAGTGAAATGAAATGATAGGAAATTTTAAAATATTTCAAACTTTATCAGTATAATTTATAACAATTTTTTAAAAATATAATTATACGTTATACGGCATTAAATTGCGTGAAATAAATCATAATAATTGATGAGAAACAGCAATATCGACATTTTTGTCAATACAAATTTATCTTTACAATTTTTTTTTCAAGTAAATAAAAAGAAATTCAAAATAATTCTTACGATAAGATAAATTTGTAACTATTGATACAAATGAGAGAAAATTACAAATTAATTTTTAATGAGTAATTAATTGATAATTTATTACTCATTAACGTTAACTATTTATAATCTGAAATATTAAATATTAAAATGTATTCAATATATTTATTATTGCTATATAATTATTGATATATAAATTATATATAGACAGTACATTATTTTATAAATGAAATAATGTACTGTACATACGGTACGTGATTAACAGAAACACGTGTAAATTATAGAGGATAGAGAAATATTTACGGGGAAGTGCAGAAAGGAAACAATGTGCCTTATGCCTTATAAAATGCCTTTGCTCTGGGAAATATCTAAGAAGAGAGTGCGGATATTGCCCTGACCATCCCACCATAAACCTGCTGTTGCGCACGAATAAGAAATAATTCACATATTGTACAATACAAACGAGTAATACTAGGAGTATAATTACTGTTGACATCCGTTCTTATTTGGTAAGGACAGTCTGTTCTTTAGTTGCATTGTTCTTCTTTTACCCTTAGGATAAAGTATCTTCCTTAATGAGAAAAAGAACAACGTTGCGGGTAATATCGACTGCTAGTATTTCTAATGTTATCAGGTTATCACCTAGTATTTCTCAACCATAACATGAAGTTTATGAAAGCAGATTTTTTAGGAGGCATACGTACAGTACATATATAATCTGTATATATAAGGAGAATTTTGATTCACCTGATACATAGTACTTCAAAAAACATTAACACTAACATGGAAGTGGTACAATCGGGTTTCGACTTTTTGAATAAGGTCAAAAATTGTAGAGTTCTCAAAAAATAAAAATAAAAAAAGCACGGCTCTATTACCCCTATAATAGTGACTGAGTACCATTTCCATATGTGTTTCCATTTTTTGAAGCGCCCTACGTGAAGATTTAAAACTCTTTTTGATAATTTATTTTAAATCAAACTTTCTAAGGTTTTCTTTGAGTTTTTTTAGTGATTAATTTAACTAATTTAATAAAAGAATTTTTTTGAATGGCTTCTCCTAAATAATAACTGTCGAAAGTTAATATAGTTAGAAAAATTTATGTATATGATGATTTATTTAAGATAAGAAGTCTTTATTCTCTTATGTAAAAAAAATATTCACACTTGATTAATGATAATATTTTTTTTTTATTATTTCTTTCGCAGGAAATACATCAAAAACAGTTTTTCATGTGATCAATGAAGTTTGATAAACAACATGTCACTACATATTGCTAACAGTTTGCAGCTCAGCAATTACGCAGTTTTCGCTGCTCTACTAAAAAATCACACATTCTTCAATGATTATCTGAACTTTGACGATTTCAATGGAACTGATTCCAACGATTATTTGGATACAACCGATTACGTTACCAGTCTTCCCGCTTTCAGAGCTTTCTTTTGCTGTCTCTATGTTATAATATTCTTGTTGGGAATATGTGGAAATGTGTTGGTGTGTTACGTTGTCTTTCGCAATAAATCCATGCAGACTGTCACTAACTTCTTCATAACTAATCTCGGTCTATCTGATATCCTTCTGTGCACCTTCGCTGTACCTTTCANTTTTTTTTATTATTTCTTTCGCAGGAAATACATCAAAAACAGTTTTTCATGTGATCAATGAAGTTTGATAAACAACATGTCACTACATATTGCTAACAGTTTGCAGCTCAGCAATTACGCAGTTTTCGCTGCTCTACTAAAAAATCACACATTCTTCAATGATTATCTGAACTTTGACGATTTCAATGGAACTGATTCCAACGATTATTTGGATACAACCGATTACGTTACCAGTCTTCCCGCTTTCAGAGCTTTCTTTTGCTGTCTCTATGTTATAATATTCTTGTTGGGAATATGTGGAAATGTGTTGGTGTGTTACGTTGTCTTTCGCAATAAATCCATGCAGACTGTCACTAACTTCTTCATAACTAATCTCGGTCTATCTGATATCCTTCTGTGCACCTTCGCTGTACCTTTCACACCACTTTACATATTCATGCAGGAATGGGTGTTCGGTACTGTATTATGTCGTTTGGTACCGTACGCTCAAGGTGTGAGTGTATATATTTCCGCTTTTACTTTAATGTCTATTGCTATTGATAGATTTTTTGTAATTATTTATCCATTTAAACCCCGACTCAAACTCAACATCTGCTACATGATCATCGTCTCTATTTGGATTACCGGTGCCTTACTTACTCTTCCATATGGTATCTTCATGAACATGATATTAGCAGATAATGGCAAATGGTACTGTGACGAAGCATGGCCTTACGAATCTAATCGTAGAGCGTTCGGTTTTTCCACCAGCATTCTTCAGTTTGTAGTACCGTTCATCATCATCACCTTCTGCTACATGCGTGTTTGTGGAAAGCTCAGAAGAAGAGCCAAGGCCAAACCGGGTGCTAAGTCTCAAAAGAAGGAAGAAATGGAGAGAGAGAGAACCAGAAGAACTAATCGGATGCTGATAGCCATGGTTGTCATCTTCGGAGCCTCGTGGCTACCCATCAACATGTATAACCTTATAGTTGACTTTTACATCCCCGCTTCGAATTGGAAATATCTGAGCGCTTTCTTTTTTCTTTCTCACGCAGTAGCCATGAGTTCTACTTGTTATAACCCCTTTCTGTACGCTTGGTTGAACGAAAATTTTCGCAAGGAATTTAAAACTGTTCTTCCTTGTTTCACTACTCCCGTTGCCTCTGGAAGAATTCATACTATAAAACAAGATAGAACCTGTAACGGACATGAAACTGCATTAGAAACACTTTTACCAAAGAATTCGATGAAAGATATCAAATTACATGAGGATAAAATGATTTCAGTTAAGTACATAACCGAAGCAGAAGCGGTACGATTTCCTCTTAAACAGGATTCGCTAAACAATTAATTTTAAGTACTAGAATATTATTTTCACTTTCTACAAAACTTATTAAAATTGCTCAGAATACTCCCTCCTCCTTCTATTGAATACAGTTAAGAAGCACAATCTAAAACAGTATAAAATATATATATATAATATATTTGTCTAGGAAATTTCTGCTTATTTTAATGCAAAGAAATTTTTAGTTTCCATATTTTATTTTCTTAAATTGCATATAAAATATATATTAATATAAAGATTTTCATAAAAATTATTTTTGAAAAATTCACTAACCCTATTTTACGTAACGTTCGTAAATATAAAACGTTGTCCTCCCCACGTTATAAATGCACAAAATATTAACATATTTATGAAAGACAAGTTTAAAAGTACATAAAATCTATAGAAAATTAACATATATTACCTGGAAAATAGGTAATTTTGCTCATTTTTTATATACAAATACGTAGATTTGAGTATTATTCTTAATATAAAAGATGAAAAATAGTTATGTGATGAATATTGACATGTAAAAATGAAACATTTTTCTTGATTATATAGAATTAAATATAATATAATTTTGACATTAATAAAGTATATTCTCTTATGAAATTCAATCAATGGTGCGTATATGTATGTTGTATATATTGTAATATATTTAAATGAAATTATGTATGTGAAATTTAAACCAGAGATGAAATATTTGCATTAATCAAATGAAATATGTGCCTGATAAATATAATTTCGCTTGTGAATTTCTTTAGCAATGTAACTTGTAATGAAATTTGTAACAATTTAACAATGTGCTCGATTGAATTATTGGATTTTAATTTTTCCCTCCCCGTTCTACTTCGTGTAGTTTACGAAAATTTCCCATAGTAAATCTATGGGAAAGGTGGGGCTCCGTAGTCTTCACGAATAGAGCGATTCATTTATATTTTATCATTAAATATATAATATTTTAACAATGAAAAATTTTATGTAATAGTGAAAAGTTCGTTATGTTTAAATAAAAAATTCAGTAGTTATGATTTTTAGTTTTTCTTTATATTATGACTTATGAAATAATTCAATAAAACAAATTTCAACTCAAAATTTACTCAAGAAAACAAATATAAGATAAATATATATATAAGAATAATTGTTTATATACATTAAGAAGTAAATAGATACATTTACTTACTGAAAAGAGAATTTTGAGAAACAGAATGGGGTCCAAAAGTCAGTTAACCGAAAGCTAGCAATATAAATTCACCAGATTAACTTATTTTTGGGTCATCCTGTGTCTGCAACTTATTACTCGTACTTAAATTTACTTTTTTAGTAGCTTTTATTTTACGTTTTCTTTATACCATAATGTGGGAAATACATTAATAAAACATTTCAATTCAAAATTTCCTTTAGAAAGTAAAGAAAAAGTATTTAAAACTTTTTATTTTATAATAGATTTCTTTTAAAAAGTATTACAATACATTTCGATAAGTAATTCTGCTTATTTATTGAAAGAACAATTTTATCTTAGATATAGAATGGTTCAAAAGTCAGTTTACGAAATTGTAAGAATAGCAGTTAACCAGGTTAACTGACTTTTCAAACACACTACAAGCCCAATTTATCATTAAACTTAAATATATTGTTTATATATTTTATTGTTTCCTATATTATTTATACAATTTGAAGTAATGTGTCTATACAAAAAGTCTATATAAAAAGATATAATAAAGCTCTATACTGTACTGTACTGTACATCTTCCATTGCGCTATTGTATTTAAATATTGTTTAACTACACTTAGAAGTATGCTATTGTTTTTAATACTTAATAAATAGCGCGTAATTACGAATGCTTAGTAAAAATCTTGGCAATTTACGACTGTAGAAAACAAAGTAAACCAATAAAGAAAATGTTATTTATTGTTCCTAAAAATAAGAAAATTGTTTACTTATCAATAGTCCTAATTGAAGAACTTGAAGAAATTTGTGCATGTGTGAGAACAATCAAAAATTATATTAGATATATTAAAACACTTTTTAATAAACACAATTAAGATTTTACAAATAGTTCCTTGCCAGACGACTGACCACGTAGAGGTTGTCATTTTTTTGACATGTCTAACACGTAAATTAGAGTTAGTTTCCGATAGAAAGTCCTTTTTTGGGAGGCATCCCTCCCTTGCGGATTGTTCATGTGTTACGTTGCCTTTCAAACCATCAATTCATTATTGGAATAGTTAATTTTGACTCCTCGAAAAACACGGAGTCATTGTTTTACTGTTATATGATAGTTTTCTTCCTCGGCATTTTAGTGTTTTTATTTATTTATGAATCATTCAATATCTAAAGTCAGAGTTCTTTATTTCTTGAAGTGAATAATACAATGATAAAATAATATTTTACTCGAAAGTTACACGTCACTGCTGATTTACTGTAGACAGCAAAATTAAATTTTGAATATTTACCAACTAAAGTAAGTACCTTTGTTTTAAGGGTACACGGCTGAAAACGTCTATGGAATTCGATCGATGAGATAAGACAATCCAATACATGAGAAATCTGTAAAAGGAACTTCTTTCCGGGAAAATTTTCTACGAAAAATTGGCTTCTATTTTTGTGTTAGACAGGTGAAGATAAAGCAGAATACTTCTCATGTTGGTGAGGCGCGAATACGCGACCTGACAGAGTTCAGTTATATCTACTTGGCCATTGTTGGGATGGAAACCAGCATTTGAGACAATGAGATGTAAGGCAGAGAGGGATAGAATTTAATTGTTGACTTAGAGACTACGCTCAAAAAAAGTAGTCTCGAACAGATTGAATCTGGGGTGGAACTCGATTACTCTACCTGACTATGTAACTACGTTACACAGACATCTAGTATTTCATAAAATTTAAATCAATCACCGAGATTTTTAAAATACTCTTAGAGAATGCATATTGTCATTTTATCATTGCAATTTTATTTAAAAGTTCTTCATGATTTCCATTATTTTTTCCTATTCGATTTTCAAACCAATTTTATTTTCCAGTTTTATAAAGCATATGTAAACAATCAGATAAATATTTTGTATGTTATTCCTCTTTAATATTTAATAGGATTCACATTCTTTTAAAAAAATTTATTTAAAATCAAATTAAAATAATTTCGAGTACGTCTGTCTTTATTATCCACACATCAAGGAAATAATGTTTTCTAAAAAGTAGATTACATAATGTATCTACAAAACGAAATAACATAAAAGCAGATAGCAGAAAGAATATGTGAAATTTAATTTTATGTAAATGTAAGAAAATAAATTTGCATAAATGTAAATTTAATAATTTAAAACCAATGAAAAATTATAAAGAAGAATTTCCTAGAGCATTTACCTTTATATGGATTATACAGCTTTCCAAAAATACCATCTTTCTTTTCTCTTCAGTGTCTTGCCAGTAGCGAGAGAATTAAAATGCTGAATACTGGTAGTTGGTGACCAACGACTTGCCACGTATAGTTTACCGTGTGCAACACCAAAATAGGGCCAATTTCCATTAGACCTCCCGTGGGGCACTCCCTTATCACATCGTATATATCAGTGTTTCTCAACGGGGCGATATCGCCCTCATGTGGGCGTTTTTCCATGTTGAAGGGGCGATTTGTAACAATTTATATTTTGGGGCGCGAAAAACAACTTTCTGGGCGATACAGTAAAACATTATATTAAGAATAATTGGATATTTTATTCGTTATATCGTACAATAATTAAACAAATAACATTATACTGGTCACTAGTCTATTCGATGCAGTACGAATTTGGCGTTAGCCTTGGCCCTCGGCATCGGAATTTTGAAGTGAAGGGGGCGATACTCCGTAACGGTTTTATTGACAGGGGCGATACTACGTTGAAGGGGGCGACGATTAGTTACAGGTTGAGAAACACTGGTCTATATGTTGAGTTGAATCATTCCATTAATCCTTGTCTGAACTTAGTTGCCACAAGTCTTCGGAGCACATTCTTCTTTAGACTCTTGAGGTTAGATTCTTGTAACTACTTTTTTTGGATCATCAATTATTTTAATTCTCTTCCTTCCTTCTTCCTGCCAACATTTTCTGTAAAGCTTTCATGAATAAATCTCCGTCTCATATCATGTGAACGATCTAGTTGGCTTTATTCTCCACCTATTATCTATTAGCCTATCTTTTGTTCTCATTTACTCTTTCCAGAACTTCATTATTCTTCAAAGTAACATTTTGGAATAACTTTTTCATTGTTACTAATAAAATTTTCTCTTGAAACTGTTATTAATATTGAAGGATGCATTACAAGAAAGAAATTTTGAAGAAATTGTGGTATTTTCTATTATTTTTCTTATACTAAAAGCTTGTAGAGTTAAATATAAAATATAAATATTTTTTTGTTATTTATTTTCATTCATATAAAAAAAATATAGAAACTAATGTATCTTTTTTACTTACAAGTTCTAACGTATAATAATTATGATTTACATGTATGAAAATGTTGAAATTTATGTTACTGAATGGAAACATATCTACAAAATTTAACCACTTCTTTTATTTAAACATTGCAAAAACACATTGCAAAGTACTTCACTACCGTAACGCCATGACTGTAAAATTATGATGATATAATCTCTGAAATTCTGTGAATATCTACATTTAAATTACGTATAAATATAATCTATTGTAATTAATTTTATCTCTTTATTAAGTTCATTAACGTCACAAAAAATAATTTTTCTATTGAATTATGTTATAAGATTTCTTCTTAATCTGATCATTTGAAAGTTCTTCTTATTTTACATCTCTATAGTTTAATTGAAAGGCTCGTTTTGCTTTAATGAGATGAGACAATGTAACACGTAGCATCCCTTTGGAATTGATCTGCCAAATGGAATGCCTCCCGAAAAAACCTTTTACGAGAAACTGGTCCTATTGAAATGTTATACACGTAAAGAAAATTCAGAAAAATCTACAGACTAACTCGTTGGTGAGGTTTTATTGAAAGATATTTTTATATGTAATTTATGGACATATTTCATCCCCAAATGGTTAATGTCGTATCTGACGAGTAAATTTGAGAAATGGGTAATTTCTAGTAATCCAAATGTCATAAATCAGTTCATGAACCAAGTTTTAAGGTACATTTTTCTTAATCTATAAAACTTTGTGTGAAAAAAAAATCGATCGTTTACAAATAAAAATGTAAAATGTAAAAAGAAATTATTACATGTTTATGTTGAAGTTTGATTTATAACTGCAGATTTATCCAGATTTATAGATTTTAGAAATAACTTGATAACGTTGTAAATCAGGTTTAATAATATATATCATAAATCTATTTGCATATAACTTATTTTATGCATAGATATGAAAGTTAGATAAAAACTTGTAAGCAATATTTTATTCGATAGTGAAAAATTTTTGCTAGTGTTATCAGAGATTTAAATGTAGAAAATAACACTACAAAGTATAGTTTTATGTGTGATAAATAACAATAGACATGTTTGAAAATTACATATAAATTGATAATGTAATTCAATGAGAGAATTAATAGAACAGATATCATAGAAGACTTTATAATAATTAAACTAGAAATTCCGAAAGCAGAATATATTATTATTAGAAGATAAATACATTACATTACAACTGTAATTACATTAATTAAAAGCCCTTTACTAAAAATATAAAGTGAAACAATGTAGTGAAAGACAATACAAATTTGGTAAGAATCATGAAGCATGGGGAAATTATAAATCTACCGACTTTACCTAATGAAAAATTATACTAATCAGGCTTGTTATAAAAAAAATAAGCTTGTTCCGTTTACATCTGTGTGAAGGAAGTAACAAAGAAACGTAAATCAATATCTGAATTTATGAATTTAGAAGAGAAACGATCAGAAATGGAATAAGAAAGTCATTCATTTAATTTTATATCCAAATAAGATATC